TCTACAGACTGTCGGTTCACACCCCATCACAAGCCAGCAAAACACCCACGAAACAAAGAAAGGTCTGTCACAGCCAAAAAATACACTCCACACACGCCGCTGGCACTAGAGGCACAGCATGGCCGCGTAGTGACGGCCCCGACCACTGCCGCTCGACCTGACCGGAGTATATATTGTCACACACATATATATATATATCGTCACAAATATATATATACATATATTTGGTTGATTCTTGGCAACACACACACCTCGATTACTTTTCTCTGCACTTCGTTGCACCAACTGCTCCACTGACAGTCTGCCATGTTCCATCAATCCCTCTATGATCGACTCAGCCGCCTGCAGAAAAGAATTAGAAAAAGCAAGAGAAATGGGAGCAGCCACACAATCTTCATCAGTCTGTGAAATCACTGCAACCTGTGTATAAGAACATTTTCTTTCATATATGGTCTGTGAAATCCCTACAAAACTGTGTATAATCAATCACCTTTTCTTTCATTTGAAAGGATTTCCCAGCCATTGGATCCAGTCCCAAGTTCCAGCCCTCCAGTCCCTATAGCGGTGGGTCCTAATGGCCAGGGCATTCTTGGCACCCCGAAATTAATTTGATCCCCCTTAAGTGAGAATCCGACCCCCTTTACAATTTTTGGACCCCTAGAGCGGTGGGTCCTAACCGCCAGGGCATTCTTGGCACCCCGAAATCACAATCTTGGTTCCATGTACCCTCTTCCGTGTCCCGGTAGGGTCCAGAGCCTGTAGGCTGGTAGACATCTAAATTTAGGTCCCGGTAGGTTAGCCTTAGTAGGCCGTGGTAGGGAATTCCTGCCAGATATTAGTTCAAGTCCCAAGTTCCAGCCCTCCAGTCCCAATCTTGGTTCCATGTACCCTATTCTGTGTCCCAGTAGGGTCCAGTGCCTGTAGGCTGGTAAACATCTAAATTTAGGTCCCGGTAGGTCAGCTTTAGTAGGCTGTGGTAGGGAATTCCTGTCAGATATCAGTTATGGGTTAGAAAAAGTTAGTTCAAGTCCCAAGTTCCAGCCCTCCAGTCCCAATCTTGGTTCCATGTACCCTATTCTGTGTCCTGGTAGGGTCAAGAGCCTGTAGGCTGGTAGACATCTAAATTTAGGTCTCGGTAGGTTAGCTTTAGTAGGCCGTGGTAGGAAATTCCTGCCAGATATCAGTTATGGGTTAGAAAAAGGTAGTAGAAATCATTAGGCCACCGGTCAGTGGCCGAATCGGCAGCAAAGTCCCGGGAAAGTCTGCAAAACTCCAGGAGCAACAAAGATTGGCAGGATAGCGAACCCATAACCGGTAGCTGCAGTCTGGAAGGTGAAGCGCCGAGTACAAAAGTGCAGCTGGGGAAGCCATCGACACATATTCACTTGCTGGTTCATCTGGACACGCTGCTGCACTATTTGGGATGTTTCAAATTGTGCTGCTCTGTGAATTGGTAGTAACAGTCGACGGCGATGGCTGCATGCAGCCAGTAGACACAGCTAGGTTGAGTGAGAGGCAGAGAGAGAGGGGGGCAGAAGTATTCAGAGACAGAGACCTTGGACAGGGAGAGAGAAGTAAGGAGAGAGGTTTGGCAAGGGAGCGACCATACCTGAGTGCGTTTGGGCGGCCATAGCTGCCCTCTGTTGAAAAAGACAATTTTGTACATATGTGTTGGATTACAGCGACTAGTTGGGCTCATATCTCATGTGCACTTACGTGTGTTTGGTTCTGGTGTGAGAGTGGTTTGGAACCTTGGAGCATGTGATGCATGGATGGTCTCAATCCGGTTGGCACCACAGCAGACTCTCGTTACCTCCTTTCAGCGGGTGCAAGCGAAAACAGACCTTCTACCTCCTAACAGCAAATATATGGAAGGAGAAGTACAGGCCAAGCAAAGAAACATTGTAGACCTGATCAGGTGAACAACCCTATGGGTAATTTGGAAAGCGAGCAGAGAAACAACAGGAAAAAGAAAACAGCACCAAGATGAATCGTGGGACGAAATGAGAGAAATCTTGGAAGCAGGGTCAAAAGTGGAATGGACAAAAGAGCCCGCAAAGTTCGGATGAGAGTCCGGTTCCTTAGAAAGAGAGAACAGGCTGTTCACCTGAAACATAGCATCAATCAAGGGGAGAGCGATCCAGTTTCAGAATCTGCGCCGGGCACATCAGAGAGCAGACACGGAAGAGGAAGGTGGCGACGACTACCTAATCGAAGAACAGCGAAGAGCAAAAGGAAGGGAATGGCTTCAGGCTATCCATCAAGACAAGAGATGAAGATGGAGTGGCTTCAAAACATAACACTCCCCTACCCCAAACCTTGAACTACCATCTTCACCCGAATAGAACGCCCAGTCATTACAGTTGTGTTTGGTGCGAATTTCAGTCTAGATGCAGTCATAATGACAGGGCTTTCTATACAGGTGAAGACGGTAGCTAGAAATGGGATATGCGTACAGAAGCCACAATAGAAAGGAACCAACAAAACTGTTCTAGGTTCAAAAGTATTATCTGGCAGCCTGTGACAACGGCTGAGAGGAGCAAAAGTCAAGTTGCAATTTCCTTCCCCCCCCCCCCCCCCCC